CTTAACTTCTTCCTTAAGGCCTTAGTAGTAGGCTATTATTAAGGGTTTATTATCCTAGTTAAGGTATAAGATAATCTACTAGAATTTAGCTATATAGTCGGAAGCTAATCCTTTCTGCTTAAGCTCTTTAAGCTATTAAATAGCGGCTTACGCTTTATTAGGATCCTTAAAGACCCCTTTTAGCTTCTTTTCGAACTAGTCGTAATTTCTAAGGATTCTTTAAGTATCTAAGTCTTAGTCCTTAACGTTATCGTTTTCCAGGAAATCTCGATAAAATAGTTTAAACTAGTTAGCTACGTTTTCTTAAAGGTACAAGGCCGTGTAGATAACCTTATCTTCGTTATTAACTAGAGTATTAAAATAATAATAAATATAGGCCCTGGCCTGCGTTAAGAATCGTCGAAGTTATCCTTATATACTATCGAATAGTTCCGGCTCAGGGAATTTAAACGTCCTAGCTCTTTCTCTAGCCTAAAGCTATTCCTAAAAAGTGTTATTTTCGTTCCTAAGTTACGTGACTACTTCTCGGAGCTTAGCCATAGACTTAGCTAGTTCTTAATTATTCGAAGCCGGTCCTACGGTAATCGATCCGGTAAGCGTTTAAGGTGCTATTATCCTAGACAGGTTAACGCTTAGTTCGTAAGGTCCACTTACTAAACGGAGTGTTTAAAATATTACGACCTAGGTTCCTAGATACTAAGTCTAGGATCCCTAGTTAGGGTTATCGTGAGTTTGTGTTCACGAGGTAAGAGGAGGTTATAAGCTAAGCGTAAGTCTCTCGTAACTTCTCGTAGGCGGTCGTAAGGTAAGTCTGCCTCTTCACTATAATACTTAAGTAGGTTTCTAATAAAGACTTAGATTAAACACTATCTTCTTCTATAGTAGAAGCAAGACCTAGGATACTCTAGTATATATAGCTTATTACTTACTGGCCCTCCTGGTAAGCAGCCTACGTTACTTACTAGCCCTCCTAGTGAGCAGCCCACATTGCTCACTGGCCCTCCTGGTAAGCAGCCCACGTACTAGTATATCCTTCTTATATCCTTATATCACGTAACCCGGCACGTGACCCTTCATTAGCTATCCTCTGGTTATGTCTTGGTGCGGTGTTGCGTACCAGGGCATCCTTCCTGCATGTTAGGCCCGCTGGTCGTAATACTAGACTACCTATCCGACCGACTCCTAAGGTAACCGCCTACTAAAAGAAAAAGAGTATACTAGTAAAGGAAGTAACACGCACTAGCGTAAGAATCACTAATCGCCGTGCTTAAGGAAAGACTATTCGGATTAACCCATGTATATATTAGATAGAGCTAGATATACCTTTAACTTATGCCTTTTTCTTGTCTAATTAATAAGAAAAGCGCTAGGATAGACTAAAAAGGCTTCTAACCTTTAATTTAATAATCCTCGGAGTAGCCGATACTAAAATAAATACTTATTCGAATACTAAAAAAGAGGCTATAACGTTACTAAAGCCCTTAATTAATAGCAGAGTTTATCGCGACTACCTAAAGGCTATACTAAGGCACTAGCGGGAGCTTATTAACCACCCGATACGTAAACGGTTTAAGGAAGCCGCGTAGAAGGAGGTAAATAAGCTAATCAAGAAGCGTATAAAGAGGGAAATTAAGCACTTAGAGGCGAAGTTAAAGCCTTTTCTGTTAAAGTGGGTTTTTACCTATAAGTTCGACTAAGACGGATATCTCGAACGATATAAGGCACGCTTATATATTTAAGGGGACTTATAGGAGAGCTTAATAATTAAGGGAACCTACGTAATAACGCTCGCTATATAATCTTTTCGTATTATTATAGCCCTGGCTATTTAGTTTAATCTAGAGATTAAGTAACTTAATATCGTTAACGCCTTCGTTAACGCCTAAAGGAGTAAAACAGGAACGCCCGTTATATACGAACTTCCCGATAGATTTAAGTAGCCTGATAAGTGCTTAGAGCTCGATAAAGCACTATATAGACTACGCGACTTGCCTAGACTATAGTTCTAGACCTTCGCGGCCACCCTAATAGATTTAGGGATAAAGGCTAATAAGGAAGAACCGTGCCTATTCTATACTAAGGCTTAAGACGTATTCGTTATCTTCTTTATAGACGATATTCTTATATTATTCTATAGAAATAATGCTATAAACGGCCTTAGAATTATCGAAGGGATTAAAATAAGGTTTAAAGTATTGGAAAAAGGGAAAGCCGATTAGTTTTTAGGTATTAAGATTACTCGAGATCACCCTAAATATAAGGTTTTCCTCTTCTAGGACTTATATATCGAAAAGATTATAGCTAGGTTTAAATTAGACGCTCGAAACACCTACCTAGTAATCCCTATTCCCGTTATAGAATACCGGAAAAGAGAAGACGAAGCCACCGCTTAAGAGATTAAATCTTATTAAGAAAAGGTCGGATTAGTGCTTTATATAGTAGTTATAATACGTCCTGATATAGTATTCGCCGTCTTTATCCTCTCCCGCTTTCTTAGGAACCCCTTTCCCGAGTATTATAAGGCGGTAGACTAAGCTATCCGCTATTTATTTATAATAAAGGACCTCTCGATTTAGTATAGATCGAGTATTAGTTTATAGGCGATAGTTATTATAAGCAACGCCTCTTTTATAGATAATTTAAATACACGAAGATCTTTATAGGGTTACCTTGTTAGCCTATTTAGTGGATTAGTTATATAGAAAGTAATAAGATAAATAATAGTAATAACGTCTATAACCGAAGTAGAGCTACTCGCTTTAGAGTAAGTGGCGAAAGAAATAATAGGTTTAAAGCGTCTTTTCGTCGAAATACGCTTTAATCTAGAATCTCTTTAGGATATCCACTACGATAACACGTAAACGATACGCCTAATAGTCGATAATAGCTTTAGGATTAAGATTAGGCTTTGCTATATAGATATATAGCGCTTTTAGGTAAGGCAGGAGAACGTAAAAGGATTATTTAGAGTCGTATATCTTACTACGAATTTAATACTAGTGGACGAATTAATAAAAGCACTTCCACGATAAAAATTCGAGAACTTCCGAGTATATCTTAATATAATTAGTACACGGAGGGGGTAGAAAGAAGCAGTTAAAGTCGAAATTCCCGCGCCCTAGGTGCACCGCGCGCCGGCGGTTTAGTTAATTTAGTAAAAAGAAGGGTATATCGTTATCTTAATACTATAACACTATACTAGACCCTAAAAGTAATTCCTAAAATATAAGAAGGAGTATACTAGATAATTCACTAAGCTCTATTAGTGCTATTCTAAATACCGTTCTGCGCGATATCTGCGTTATTTCCTTTAGTAGGAGGAGCAACGATAAACCTATTCTCCCGGAGAATATCTATTATAACCCCCGCGAGCTAAGAGGTAGAAGTGCTGCCCGAAGTAGTAGTAGGAAGCTAGTTTAATGCTCCCTTAAGTTCTTCCTTACAGAAAAACTTCTCGTTATCGTCGTCCTTTATTAACTTAATTATAAACTTTACCGTTTATTTAAGTTTAGCGAAGAACTGCGCGAAACTAGTTAGTCAGAGTATTTAATTTTAGAAATAAAGCGAAAAACGCACCTTGTTATCGTCGTCGTTAGAGTCCTTATTAATCTTACGGACTATAATATAGTTAAAAAGAATTTTAACTAAAGAGATAAGGCCAGTAAAACTATAAGTATAGGTTAGCGGTCGTAAAGCTTAATAGCGTATATATCTTCGGGCTAATACGAAATAAAGCACACGATTATAATCGTAAAGCGCCTTAGATAAGGGGTAAGAACTTATAGAGGATAGTATATATAGTTTTTATCCTTATACTTTTAGTAGCGGTTAGAGCGGCTAGGGACGGAAATATAACAGTTAAACAAGCGCTGCTTACTAGAATAAATACCCTTAACGCACTCTAAACAGGGAGGATTAAATAGGACGGCTATAAAGTCTTCTTCGGTATCCTTATTATTATTGCTACTATTCTTAGTAGCCTATTAAGGAATTAGCTAGAGACTAGAGTAGACGGATTAAAAATAAACGCGCTAAAGAAACTTATAGTAGTACCCTTTTTGCCCTTATTTTTCTTTATACTATTAGACGACTTCTTCTTTGCCGTAGCCGCGGTACAGGTAACGGCTAAGAGGGTGGGGGGAGCCTAAACGACGCTACCAGTTAGCACACGCCACCGAAAATAATTCTCCGAGACTTACTATAGCGTAGTTGTTATTGTTTTTATTGCTGTTAATGGGAAAAATTTGGAAAATTTGGATCAAAATCGTTAAAAAATCCTTAAAAAACAACGGAACGAGAGTTATAAGAGGGAAGATCCAAAAGCTCTAAAACGCCGGTATAACGCCTTTAATTTATCTATAAAAGGCCCTACTATTACCTATTTACTACTACTATTAATAGCACTTTTCCTTTATTATTTACTATTATTATTATTATTATTTTTATTATTTTATAGCTTTTGTTCCTGCCTTTTAACTCGATATTAAGGGTATTACACGACCCTTTAAGACTATTTTAAGGTTGAAAATAAGGCTAGGTTAAGGTTAGGCTAAGTAATTGTCCCGCTAATCACGGCATAATAATTAGGGGGTATGTTATATTCTATCACGTAAGCCACGGTGTAGTAACCTCCTATTAGTTAGAGGTGCCCTACTATCCTCGCTTAGAAGGTGGTAGATGTATTTAGGACACGTATACCCGCCCCCGTTTTTCTTTCTCTTTTATATATAATATAATTATATATTTCCTGAATTAACGCTCCCTGTAAGCACGTTCCCGTTAATTTAATAATTACTACCTTAGGAGGAGAGGTCTAGAAATTCCCACTGTGAAGAGGGAGGCTCGAAACGCAAGCTCCTTCAGCTATGGAGGCATCCAAGCTCTAACCTTCTACTAACAGCTGTAACTAGTACCTGCTTGTGAAGGAGGGAAGCGATAGCTGTACTTTAGCAGTATTCTAGGACTATATCCGTACGTACTACCTACTGCACGATTATAAGATCCGTATTACTATATAGCGCCTTTAGCTGGCTTGTTCTCTTAGACTCGATATATTGCTGTTAACCACCTACCTGAAAGATATCAGGTAACTCGGGGTATCAAAAAGGCGAGCTCCAATAGTATCCAAACACAAATCCGGGTTTCTGAATCCAATTATAAAACCTCCGTTGAAACTTCTAATGCTTGGCCAACTTCTTGTTGGCCCTTTTCCCTCTCCGCCGGGCTGGGTTAGGGTGAACACCCTCCCTCGAAAAGGCCAGCATGCAGCACGGGACGTTAGTCGCTCACGCCCTCATGAACACGCGTTAAGCTCGCATAATCTCTGTCATATCCTTCATGCGATAGTCCAGGATGGGCGTTGACCAATTGTCTTCGACGAGAGAATATGTCTCTTTCTCGTCGTCTTTGGGCTTTCTCGGATTGATGGCCCAGTAGCCGAAATCAGCGTCGATAGCCTTGAGATAACGAAGCAAATTTTGCCAGTAGTTGGCGCCGCCCACACTGGGTCTATTTGATGCACCGAACTCGCCGACCCAGACCGGAGCCACGTCCCCCTCGACGAGATATGCCCAGTTGCGCCTCATAGTGCGGACAAACGAGGCGTACTCTCGGTGCGAGAAGCGGCCCTCCGAGCTGCCCCAGCCGGACCAGGCGTAGACGTGAGCCGTGTAGACGACGCGATGGGGCACGTCGAGAACAACGGGGCGTTCCGCCACGCCTGACAGGTCGTTGTTTGACTCGGTGCCCCCGACGATGATGAGCCAGTCTGACCTGATCCGCAACAGCCGATTCCCGGCTTTCTCGGCCGCTGCCGCCCACTTGGACCAGGGCATGGTGCCCCAAAAGCCGCGCACCTCGTTTCGCAGGTCGGCGCCAATGACGAACGGGTTGTCGACAAAACGCACCATCACCTCTTCCCAGTGGCGGATCCAGTCGGCCTCTGTCTGCCGGATGCGGCACAGGGGCCCGAGATGGCCGTTGTACCAGGCCGCGTCGCATGGGTCGGCGCCGCAGCACCACGTCGCATGCGTGATGTGATTGTTGATGATGACCGCGAGGCCAGCGTCCGTAAGCGCCGCCGTGACGGCTTCGAAGACGTCTAGTGCTCGGCGCCCGGCCAGGTCCGGGTTAGCGGCTACCAGGCTTTCCGGGATGACGGGATTGGCCACGACAAGTTCGTCGGCGTAGGGCAGACGGACACTGTTGAACCCCATGCGGCGAATGGTGGCGGCGATATCGTTGCGATGACGAACATCGAGGCCGCCAACGACGAACAACTCATCGGAACCGCCGTACCAGTTGACCGAATGAAGTTTGAAGCGGCGGCCTTTCTGGTCGATGATATTCCTGCCTTGGGTCCGCAGCGGCAGCGCGTATGAGGTGATGCTGTTCTCAGGAATGGGCGGCGGCAGAGGCTCTTGACTGAAAAGAATGGATTTGCTGTCAGGTACCCAGGGCACCCCAATCTTGGCCTCGGCGCGCCATAGGTAGAGCAGCAATGCTCCCAGCACAAGGAGAAGCAGGCCACAGACAAGCAGGAACATCATGAAGCGTGCGTCTATATCGGACGACAGCAGTCCAGGCGATCGTCGAATACGTGCGGAGAAAGTATAAAGGCACGTTCAGTCTTTGTCAACGACCGGATTCGAAAGAGGCTCTTGTTCGGGAGCGTCACATTCGTACTGATAAATATCAAGAAATCAAAAGGATAGAGTTGGCTGGAGGTTCTCGGGTCATGTCTCGCTGTCGCTCTCTTGGGGCCCTGGCCTAGGAAAAAGTCTTGGTCATTGCGGGCGTATGTGAGGGATCCTTCCAAGATCAATGGGCACCAGGTTGTCTCTGAAATGTTTCCAGAATTGGTCGGCTGAATTTTTCGAGTCTTTAATGAATGTCTTGATGACCAACATCGTCATTGGAAATCCCTGCCTCCTATGTCCATGCTCAGGGGCAGGGGGTCCCAGACCACTCTTACGCATTAGCTATTACCTAATTCGGATAAGGGAGACGTTTCCGAGTATGTATTCGTCATTACGTAAACATCACGGTCTGTTTCGTTGTGCTGAATAAAGCCCTAGTAGATCCAGTGACGTCAAATCACCCCAACATCCTTCCGGGTCTACGATCCCTCCAGTGAAGCCGTCTCTAACTACCTTAAGGTACTTCGTAGGTAATTACGTGGTCCGTCGCGGGGTTCCCGGATCTCGGCATTCACTGCTGTTGCTAATCTTCCCGTTCCCAGCGCGCCTCATCGGCATGCCTAGGTACATACCCGCATCTCGGCTCTGACATGTGTTTGAATCACGGAAATTCTCCGCTTACGAAGTCCGGAGTAAAATCTACTACGGGTCGAAGGGGATGGGGCTCTTGTGCCCGGTTGGTTTATCTATTCGTATTGCGAATACAAGTCTTGCATTCGGAATTGGCTCTTGTCCCTGAAGCAGTGAAGATGGACCCTGTTGCGTAGGTTACTTTGACAACGTCGAGGCAACCCGAGGCTTCCACCGACGCCATTTCCAGCCCGGTGCTGTGCTGCTGAGGCCTGCTACCCATACACAGAATTCTGCACAGACTGCTGTGGCACCGTCTGATGTAGACCCGATCAAGCCTGCGTTCGCCCTGGCAAGATATTGCCGCTCGCAGTGGTTCGTATGTACCAAGCAAAGAAGTAAGAATTAAACGCAGCAAATGTCGTGTAAGGTAGGTAAGATATTCGGCCCCTATCTACGAATCTATATCTAAGTTCGTAGATCAGCCCTCTTCGAACCGGATCACCTCCACTCTTCCCGCAAGGCTCTGGTTCACTGTGTGGCGTGACTTTCAAACAACAGGAGCCCCTCGATTCGAATCCTGTTCATACCACCTCAGATACACCTCTCTTATAGCTTGCTCGTAGGAAATATCCACCTTACTCCGTAGGTATCTCATACATCTCTCCCGTCCTCTCCGGGGGTTCCCAAGCTTCCCCTCGCCACGAGGATGTAGTGCCCCTGCATGTGCCACAACCTGTTGTGGCTACCATCTACCCGTTTTCCAGAAAAGTTCCATGTACATCGAAGGGCCTTCAAGCCCAAAAGAAGGGCGTTGCCCAGAAAAACCTGACGCCGGCGCTGTTCCTATATCGACCACTGGTCTATCCAACCAGCCAACCCACCCGCACTCGAGATATTGGGACTGACTATCTTTCTGCGGTCGATTAGTGCAACACGGTTGAATCCCCAGCCATATTGTCACACACAACTCAATAAACCAAAACAAAACCCTCTAGAAAATGAGGTAAGAAAAAGAAAGGAAAAACAAAGCCGTGAGGCTGCTGGTCTCGAGAGCCGGAGCTTGTCTCAAAATAATTCGTCTGCCGCTTCGGGTTTATGTAGATCACATCCTCGAAAATTCTTGCGGTCGTCTGTCGTCAAAGGCGCTGTTGCTGCGATAATGCCTCGGCGGTGCGTACGTTGTCGCTGCGTCCCACGAGGCGAGTGCCGGCGAGGTTCGGGGCGGCCTCGGGTTAGAGAAGGAACGTGCTGGCGCGTGGTATCTGGCGGTCTTTCCAAAGTAATCGGGCGTCGTCCGTCCTTCGTCCGGTATGACCGGTAGTTTGACTGCATCAATGGGTGTTACAACAGTGCTAGAGCCTCTCGAAAGCATCTCGTACGCACGGTTGTCTTGTCTGCTCTCGCGCCTGGCATCTGCAGATACGAAATCAATATTGCTGCGGCCCTTGCGAATCGTCCTATATAGGTCGATCCAGCCGGTGATCATGGTCGGCCGGCCCAGGAAGAAAAGCAGCCATATGCCGTTGATCTTGGAAGAAAAAGCAAAGTCAGTCCTGGGCGAAGAATCGCGGCGTGGCAGGATAGGTTCATAATAACTGGGGGCAATCTTACCGAGAGCAGAATCAGCACTGCCAAGATAGTCGCCTCATTGACAACTAGTACACGAGCCTCCTCCAAACACTTATTCTTGTCACCCTGGGCTACGATCAAGCACCTTACCCAATCGGCGGCAACGCTCGGGTCTTCGCGCACAGCGTGTGCGGTCACATCTTGGAAAACAAAGACGATGGAGAAGAAGATGACATCTGCTATAATGATGACGACGATGGTAATGCCCCTCCACTGCAGGGCGATCACGCGACGGACACGTCGGTAGGCCTGACGGGGGGTTAAGCTCACGCCGGCGGTGGAAGGCAAGCTAGAAGCTGCTGTGTTGTTATCATCTGCCAGCGATGCGAGGTAGACCTTGATGCAGTAGCCGAGGGTGGCAAACTGGAAAACGGCGGCGAGACCGGCCATGACGAGGATAGGAATCCAAAAGGCGGCAAAACTATTCTCGTGGTTGATGTGACAGGTGGCGCCGAACCGGAAAGAAACGCCACTGAAGACGAGCGAGGCGACGATGGCGATGCATGGGAGACCCCAACCGGTGGCTTGTGCGAAGAAGTGAAAGTAACGGCCGACTACGATGTCCCAGCAGATCTGCAGGTGCAGAGACAGTGCTCGTAAGAAGGCCCATACCACTCCGGCGAAGCCGCCGAAAAGGAGACAACTTCCAGAGGCGCCACAGACAGGAAGCGTATGCATGTCATGCGGGGTGATGTCGTTAATGCACTGGGGAGGGCTGGCAGCTAGGGGAATAATGAATCCCAACTGAAAGCCGATGGAGATAAGAGTTAGCCCCTCGTTGCTTTGCAAAGGCTCTAAATACTACCCTCTGGGGACTCTAAACGAAGAATGATGGCTCACATTCATGAAAATGACTGTCGTTGTTAGGCATATGCTCAAGTAGTGTCGGTTCGTGTTTTCGACGGGGAGACATGCCCACGAGAGCAGGAGGAAGATGCAGCATGCGGTTCCTGCGACACTGATCCAATTCGCAACAGCTGTCATGGTATCGAAGTAGTCGGGGTAGACCCAATCGGTTATCGGACATGGGAGGCAACATGTAACTGTGTTCGGGCCGAGAGTCTGACTCTGACACAAGCGACCGTCGAGAACTGGACAGAGAGAGAGAGAGAGAAAGAGAGCGGCAGGGTCAGCGGTGCGCCGCGACAAAACCGGGTCCGCAAGGGTCGAGTAAAGGAGACTTACATCCTTGGTCGTTAGGGTAGAGGGCAGCGGAGAAGAAGGGCGCAGCACATCCTCCACGGAGCGCCGCGTCCGTCACGTTGATCCCCAAATCTGTCATCGTGTCGACCGCGCTTCGGAAAGGTGATGACGATTACTAAAGAAGAAGAATAGGAAACGGAGCCCGTGGCGGCTGCTCGAGACAGTGTGTGAGGTGTAAGTTATTCAACAAAGTTTCGCCACCCGAGGCCCAGGGCTCATCCCAGGATATACGTGCTGCGATTATGATATCGATCCCGTGCAAAACTCGGTGGTGAAGTGGTCGCGCGGTGGGTTCAAGAAGGTCGCTGTGAGAATGCCAAAGTCCTTGCAAGTCCAGGTCGAAGGGAACATGATCCGTGTTGTGTAAGTTAACGTGGCTGACAGGCAGAAAGTCATAAGTGTCGGCGATGCATGGCGCAAGAAAGAGAAAGAGGGTGAAGACCAGATCGAATCAGAGATCGCAGCATATGATACGAATACAAGATGTCGGTTGAGATTAGGTGTGGTCAGCGTCCTGTGAGCCGAGAGATGAGTGACAAAAAGGAAGTTCGAATGATTAAGCAGAGATCTAGAACCAGCGGCAGATCGGACCCTTCGTCTCAGTTGCTCGCGGTCTTTCTCTGTCAAAAATAGAGGTTACGAAAGGAGAGGGTGGAAGGGACAGAGAAGAAGGGGGGGGGCGCGCGGCCTATGTGGACTAATATGTGTCCTAATTCTGCATGTTTCTGACTTTCCGTCTACTGTCGTTCCCCCCTCCATGGTCTCCATGGTGGGCTGTGGAAAACATTCGTGGTTCGGGACCAGGGTGGCACAATGTTCCCGAACCCAACCCCCCAACCAGACTCGAGGCCGCAACGGAACCGGTAGATTCGTGGTGTGCCAACGACGCTGGCCAGACATGGCGGCACCAAGCACCTGCTGCGAGTGGGTGGGTAATAAGGGGGGTAAACCGAAGAAAAAAAATCCAAGCGCGAACGGTGCTTCTACTGGCCCAGAAGTGCAGCACCTCGACCACGAAGCACGTTGTACATCGTCCTTCGTACATATTAAGGAGTATTGTTAGTGGCACGAGAGGCACTGAGTATTTTGATTCATCAATCCTCTTCTCCAGGCCGATGTTCATACGAATGTACTCCGTACTTTGTAGGTAGGTATAAAGACGCGGTGTTATCGGTCGCTTTTACTCCGTTCTATTGGTCCTCTCGCTTTCGCTCACGTACCCCAAGAATGTCTCGGTCCCTGGATCGAGAGAGAAGACTGGAGGGTTGCGACATCAGCGATTTTCTCCCAAAGCGTGTCGGCGAATACCATTGGGAGTTGCTCATGGAGGGGGATGGGGATACTGCAAGGGGCAGGGGCTTTCCTTGTGGGTCTGGAGACGAAGTGCATCGTGCATCAGGTCTGCGACCCCGACGAGGAGGGGCAAGTGGATTACTGTCCAAGGTGGTTGGGCCAGGGGCTGTTCAGGGCTTGAAGACTAGTGGCATAATATTATCGGCAATGCGAGGATGACAAAGTGGGCTGGCTCGATTACGGAGTACGGAGTACGGTATTACAACGTACCTTAAGGTACGAATGAATACTTTACACTCCGTAGCTGGTGGATGCGGTGATGTTGGTCGGAACAATTAAACCCCTGTCTTTGGTCGGATGGGGCAACATACATAACAGGGGGAGTGAAGGTGGAAAGGAAGCAGGTGAGGAATCATCGTACCTACAGACGTAGAGAGCTCGGAGTGGCTGCCGCGTGTGCGTGATATCTGGGGCTACTACACTAGAGTCGCTGGGGCTACGGGAGCCATTGAGGAGCCAGAGCCACATACTGGTGGATGTGAGGTATGCAGAGAGGTGCAGAGGAAGAAGCTCCAACTCCAGTATCGTGCAGAGATGGAGAGGAGGGTGGCCATGGCCGTTCGTCCAGTAGATTGGTTCTGGTACCTTGCACGATTTCAAATCTTATCCACCAACCAGACACTTACTAAGGTACCTTACCTAAGGTAAGGTACGCTAGCGTAGGGACAAAGTAATTACGTCGTACACACACACACAGCGGTCAAAACTAAGGTACGTATTATACCTGGTAGGCCGTTGTATCGCACATACCTACATAGAGAATATAATCTTTTTAACTAATTTCGCTTTATTCGTTGTCCTGACGGACGAGAATTGAGAAGGTACATTGTTGTAATGTGTACGGAATTACGTCGTGCACTCTTGTGTCGACAATATGGATACTTCGGAAGGTAGGAAAGGTACTCCGTACGGCCGAATAGCCCCTCGCCCCACCTTCCTAGATATGGTAGGAGATCAAGGGTCGCCTTCTTCTCGGCCGTACTTCGACAGGCCCTGCCTCTATGCTGGGTGGTGCACGGTGAATATATACCTACCCTATATACACTACAACGTACGGGGGGGTGCCTATGTCGAGCCCCATATGTATACGAGTGCTCCCGAAACCAGGCTGCACGGCCCGCTGTTTGCCATGTGTGTGTTGCCGAATACAGCGTAACCGTCAAAAGATAAATTAATACCACATCTCTAGAATGTACTGAATATCTTGCACACGTCTAGGTCTCTCGCAGTGCTACACGCGTTTAAGCAAGCCAGTAATAATTATGCCGTCACTTTGCGTCCGGAGGATCTGAGACACTCGCGAGCAGTTGATCATGTGGGACTTTTAGGGCTGAAGGAAGGATGGCTTTGCCAAACACGCGGAATTATCGCGTTGATAGTACCGACGGCGTCGTGCAGCTACCAGGGACCAACCGTTTGGTTTTCATTGATGCGTCGATATCCTGTACATATATCGATCACCGACGTACATACGTCAGATAGTATCCAAGGACAAATACCGTCACTTTTCTCTCGATTAACAAACTCGAATGCCGCGCATGCATAAGGTACGAATTCTTCGTATGTCAGGAAACAAATGTCTGTTCCCTTCGACCCTACGGGTCCCCCTGCCCAGAACTGCCAAGCGCACCGCATTCCTTCCTGGTGACTCTCTGCACTCTCAGACTAATGCCTAGGTGACAAATCGAGGCATGGTAATTTTATTTAATTTGTTTAAAAACATTTGAAGCGTAGCATGTGTGAGTTCCATCCAAAGACAACCCATGAGCTCTCCCTCGTCAAGGCGTCAACTTGCTCCGAGCTGTGACTCGAGGTAAGTCCCCACCCCGCCTTCTGGAACACCCCCCATTTGGAACACCACTTTACACCAAAACACTGCTTTTTGGACCCCTGCTGTTATATTTAATAAAATAGTAAATATTATAAAATTAAAACCCTATATAGATCAAATTTCAAGTACTAATATTCTCCTCATAGTTTTTATATAGGTCTAGTAAAAGAGCTATAATATAGCTTAGAAGTGAGAGATTTAATTTTGTTAGTATTGCTATACACTATGTAAGGGATCTTAAAAAAATAGAAATATATTAGTGATAAATTAACCTATATAGATATAGCTATAAAATAAATACTAGAAGTAACTTCGAACTCTATAGTATATATCTTCATTACTCATCTAGTACTATATATTCTAGTATATATAATATAACTAAAAGGAGAATTCCCCTACTAAATCTTTATATAGGCTCTGTATATTACTTGATAACTTCTTCAATACTGAGTAGTTTTTTATAAGGGTTCTATAGTAGTATCTATGAATTCTGGGCGATTCTCATATATTTAAGTTATGTTTTTCACGAGTAATACTAATCTATAAATACTCTTAGTTATATTCTACGTTACGAAGAGAACACATACTAAAAGAAATAAATAATCAAGTCCTAGCTTCTAAGCTATATTATAGCTCTTCTACTAGATTTATACAAAAGATATGAACAGAATATTAGTACTTGGTTTCTAATCTATATAGGGTTTTAGTTTTATAATATTTACAATTTTCTTAAATAAAACAGCAAGGGTCTAAAAAGCAGGGTTTTGGTGTAAAGTGGTGTTCCAAATAGGGGGGGTGTTCTAGAAGGCGGGGTAGGAACTTATATAAATGTATACGGAGTCGATCCAGTCATTTAGGTCCCAACCCTATCATACGATTATAGGAGAGATCTAACTAAGATAACCTTATATTGCACGTCAAAATGGCACTTATATAATTAACTTAGTCGAGTAGAAATCTTATATATGTGTATTATATTAAGTTATATTTGTAAGAGTCTTTTATACTCTTAATTTAGGTAGTGAAGACTCCATTATAGGTACTATATTATTAAGATCCTATCCGGTCTTTTCCAGTATCCGCCCTTATTATATCCTAATACCCGAGCTCCCCGATATCCGAAGCCCTTAGTTATAGCGTGGATCCCCCCTAAATCCCCTATAGACTATGTCGTAGTCCGTATACCTATACGATACAACCCCTTAGTTAAGGTAGGTCTTCCTAGGTTAACTAACTAATTAAAGGCTTCGGTTTAAACTAAACGCTCTTAACTTTTCTATTATAAAGTTAATAGTTAAGGGAAAAATGCCCTTGTAAAAGGGATCTAAATTCGGCCCATTTAACTGTTTAATTTAATTCTATCTTAATTAGTTCCTTAATCCTGATTAGCCGGATCTGCTTAATCGGATCTATATCTATTGGATCTACTACGCCCTTAGGGGCCTTTATCGTCGCTACGACCGCGGCTTTAGCGCGTTTAATCTCTTCGTGTAATTACTTCGACTACTTAATACGATCCTTTTAATCCGTTAAATTAAGCTATTATTATAGTCGTTTAATCCCCGCCTCCGGTAATACCTTGATTAAACCGTCCGTGATTATATCCTTTGTGTTAACGTATGTAACCTTAAAGAGATCTTACTATACTAACTAGCACGCCTACTAGTTATGAATATTAACGTGCCGTAATCTTATTCGTAGGCGTTATACCTTCTTATTAACGAGGTTAATAGTCTACTAATTACTATAGTATATTACGGGTTGACCCCGATAAAGAGGATCCGGCTATACTCCGGATCTTCCTGACTACGCGCTTAGTTAATGGACCTATATCGCTAAGTCATCGCTACCTTATAGCTAGCCTAGCGCTATAGACTTTTCTCCTTTTCCTTCTTCCTCCCTTAATTCTAGATAATCTATTATTATAACCTTACTTAATACCACGACCTATAACTAGTTATTTATATATCTAGAACTTAGCGATACCCATGCGTTACGCTAGCGATAGATTAGGATCCTAACGCTACCGCCTAATAACCTATTAGAATTAAATAGGTTATAGAGTAAATAAACTAACGGTTCGAAGAAAATAACTAAGCCCTGAATATAAGGCTAAGCCCTCTCTATAAATAATATACCGATATTAACTTAAGGCTCGCTTCGATATAAGAATATTACTCGGAAATACGCTAGTTTATAGACCGATAACGGGTAAAAGAAAAAGCTAATAAACGATAACACTAATTAGTCGAATAGCTTATAGCCCGGCTCCTAGGATCGCCTACCCCGTAGAACCTAACGTCGCTTAACCTAAATATCCTAGCTCCCTTATAGACCCCGATAATCCTTATACTAGTAAAGTCTACCC